TTAAAAAACAAAAGCTGGTGCTAGGGAGAGAGGATAGTGCCTACCGTGAAAGGGCCATATTGATTACTTCTCAACTACTCCCCTTTTCAAAGCCAGGGGACTTTCTGCACTAAAGCAAATGGGTCCCTGGGGCTGCCAGCTGACACAGAAGGCACTGCACCCTCAGTCAGCAAAGCAAACGCAGCACGTCTTCATATACCTAATCCCACACTTTTTCTTGCTTACTTTCCTCTCTAGTGAGATCACTGTCCAAGTGCCTGGAGTTCATAACACATGCAAGCACAGCGCTACAAAGCCAAATCAAACCATGCAAAAAATTCACTATTAGCTTTCACATCAAAAGTGAGAATAACATAAAGTGGAGGTATGAAGAATACCTCCCCCCACAGCCCCCTCCCCACAACAGCAAGCACCAGGATCCTTGCAGTTGCCATCTCAGCTGGAGCACTCCAGGCACTAGATAGCTCAGCTCTGTCATACCTCACGAGGTTAATTCATTCTCATTTGGATCATGAGCTGTGCTGCTCACTAGTTTTAAAGGCAGCCAGTGGGCTGGTAGCTGCAGCCCTGCTGATATGAGAGAAACGTTTGCTGGGATATAAGATCCCACTGGGACATAAAAGCCCTCTTCTTGGTAGCCGTTGGAAGACTGTGAAACACTTCAGTCATGGGAGCTGGAGTTGATCCTTATGGGTCCATTCCAGCTTGAGATATTCTATCATTCTACGCTATGGTCCATTGAAATAAGTACTGTTATGAAAACAGTGCTCAGGGTGAAACCCACCACAGGAAATTTTGCGGAATATGAAAAACTGTTTTCCAGTGAAACCCTTAAAGGCTGCATTTCCTGGGAATATTGATGGTAAACATATTCCACAGCAGAGTACCAAAGAAATCTTCCCTCCCCAACAAAGCACAAGCTACCTCTGGTATCTCTGGCAGCAGGGATCTTCTGGCAAAACCATGTTTTAAACAAATGGTGTCAGACCATGCAAAAGAAGTCTTCTAAATAAACGTGTGTGCTGCTATTCAAATATGGGCCCCAGGATTTGGCAGTGAAAAACAAAGACTAGAAACTACAGAAAAACCCTGAATACTTGCCACCTATGATCATGAAGGTATTTGGCATAACAGTATATAAGAGAAAACCATGCACAAAGGAGCAAACAGAGAGAGGAGATGAGACAGAGAAAGATTGTGGTCTGGCACAACGTGGAGCATTGCAGTATTTTAATCATCTTGTGGGACACAAAACTTTCTGATTGTCACCAGATTTGTCCTTTTTATTCTGGAACAGTAAGACATTTGCATCTGCTGGCCTGCCAAATGCAATACTAGTCTGTATGTGCACAAGAGCAATTATACTGTTGTTTTCCAAAATGACAGATTTATACATTTAAAATATATAAATGATAATCTCATCCTTGCTTTTCCTACTCTTCAAAAAAGATGAAGCTTTCCATGTTGTAGGAATGAATGGGTAACTTCTTCCCACACACCTAAATAGCTTTTCTGTGTTAACTATTGCTCAGAAAAGTAAACTGAAAAATCAGGCAATTCCTCCATCAAGGGTTGACTGTGGAGCACATGTGGATGCAGCTCCATTTTGAGAAGAAAGAGCCAAAGGCAATTCACAAACATCCTGGCCCCACAGAGCCCTGCTAGGACCCTACAGCTTCCTATACATTTAAATTTGGTCACTGCATATGCACTTTCCTAGTTCCCAGTTTAACATACACTTTAAATGAAAGCGAACTGAGTTTTGAAAGCACATCCCTACTTATAAATTGAAAGGCACTTTCTTCTAAAGCCAAAACAGACTCACAAAATAGTCACTGCACTGCTGAGTTTGACCAGCCTGACAAGGAAGCAGTGGCAGGACATCTGCCAGCAACCTGCAAGGTTGCTTTTACCCAAACCAGTTCCTACAATGTGTCCTCTCCCCATTCTTCCATCAAGACCTGAAGCTCGTTTATGATACGTTTTTGGGGTGCAATTTCGTCTGTGAGTCTTTTCAGCCTAAATGCCCCTTTGCCCTGAACACATTCCTTCAGAAATTAAACCATATCCTGGATTATTGAGGAAAAAGCACCAGAACCCAACTGCACCTAAGAAGATATTGCCTGAACATGCGTTTCAGCACAGAGGGCCCTGCTTGGTGGCAGGCTGTCGGCAGAGACAACTGCAGCAGCTCTGGACAAACACTGAAAGTTATTTTTCTCCCCATTCCTGGCATCCTTAATAGCTCTTAATGTTTCTTCCCAGTATCTGAGCACACTCAGCAGCTGAGAAAAATGAGTATATAACTGGCAAGTGCCAGGAGACATGCCGAAAGAAGTTTCATTAAATTAAATGGCTGGACTTACACATGCTGGTCTCAAAGGTAACACAAATACCAACCTCAGTTGCCAGGAACCCATCCTATTGATATAGGAAGAATGAAAACAGTAGTTATGGCAAAGCAACTGTCAGCATCAAGTGAAAGCTGTCATCTGCTGCCGTCCATTTCTGCTTACAAAACCATTTCTCAACTGAAATGGCTGTAGTTCAGGTGGAGCTTTGAAGACACCCAGCTGAGTGCACAAAGGCCGTGATGCCTTGGAGCTAGTAAATAGAAGCTATAGTATATACAAACAGTGCAGATGACTGCTACAAATAAATAATAATAATGAGAATTTTAAGTGCCTCAAAAGAGAGTCCAGAGCCCAGATGCTCCAGCCATTTTGGCACAAGGCTTTTTTCACACCTCCACAAGACTCCAGCTGACACTAAAAAACACACTGGTCAAAATGTGAACACATGCAGAGATCTGGCAGAAAGCCGTGGTATTGCAGAAGTCCTGAGACAAGGCCAAGGCACCGAAATAAATCCCTGCAGGCTCAAGTGGGACTTATGTGGTGCCTTGGCCTAGTGCTAACCTCTGCAGAGGAATGAGTTATACCCGCAGCCTCTTGACGCGTGAGCTTACCAGCAGGAACGCGTGAGATCCTAAGCACTACCGCTGGCGGCTACCTACAGCCTGGGTGACTATTTTCTGTCACCCGATACAGCAGGTGAAGCAATGCCCACGAATGACACTGCTTACAGTCTGTCTGGGAAGACATTCTCTGACCCAGTCTCTGTAACTGCAAAGCTTTGGGAACAGAGGGGAAAATGGAAACCAGACACTTATTTGGTCCTCCTTCTCCCCATCTTCCTGGCACTTACACCACCCAAAGTAATCCTGGCACAGCCCTGCCAGCTGAGTTCAGATAGGGACTATGTCTGTCCAGATGGAAAGTTTCTCATGCACAACACGGAAAGCCAGTGAGAAAGTACAGTTTTTAAAAACACTTTAAAAGTGCACATGTAGAGTCTTTCTTTGAAGTGTCCGCTGGTCACAAAGGAATGATTACATGTTTTATCCTCACTCCCAACTTTCAGCTTCCCATTTTATAGCTGAGAAACCTACAGTATTTATACCCCACCAAGACACCAACCCTCCAACAGCACCAGAGAGGCACAGCAGTGAGGCCTGAGCACTCGGCCAAGCCAGTGCTCACAGCCCCAGCGCCACATGCTCTTGGCAAGAGGCTCAGATGGATACCCTGGAGAAGTCACGGAGATGGCTCCACGTTTGCTGCTGTTCTCATGGAGCAGATAAGAGAAAAGCACACCCACTCTGGGTCTCCAGCTCGGGCACACACATACAGCACTTTAGCAGGTTTCTGTCTGCAGGCCCTACCTTGCCGCACTGTGCCTTGGGCTCCAGGTGGAAGTCAGGAATGGGGCACTAAGCCTGTCCTCGTTCACCTTCCGAGGCCAAGAGGTGAATTGTGTGGGATGAGAACTTAGACTAGGCCTTGCAAGCGATCAGGACATGTGCCTGGGGAAGGAGGACTGCTTTGTCACATTGCACAGGTAGTGAAATCTGCATCTGAAACTCAGATACTCTCAAGCTCTGTACAGAAACTTAGCTTTGGCGAAACTCCTGGTGTAGATTTCTACCAGCTCTGACCACAGGGTTAAGAGCAGCTATGCTGTTGGAAAGGGTTTTGCCAATGCAGTACTCTGCAAGTGCTTGGCCCTTGGTCATCCTATGAACCACATCCCTACGAACAACTGTGCAGAAGCCTTCTGTGTCTCTCTCCTCTCTCCCCCTTCCCCACCATCCTCACTGCAAAGGTCACTGCCAACACACTCATACTCACTGCTTCTGGAGCAAGTGCTGGTGCTGCTGCTGCTGCTGCTGCCGGTAGGTCTCAATCGTGTGTTGGGGAAGGTACTGCATTAGTTCCAGGGACTCTTTGATCTTTAATAGCATCTCATACGTTTCCCGTCCCCTCACCTGGATCATGGGAAAAGGAAAGGAGGGAAAAGAAAAGCCTTAAAGGACTGCATCTATAGTCCTTAGTGACAGTCATATTAGCAATTTTTAGATAAAGTCAAGCGAACAACCAGAGCAGCATGCAAATTCTCTGTTTACACTATGCCTATGCAATAAAACCACTAAGCCGTATGCTAGAGGTACAGCAGATAATGTTGAAGAGTGATAATCTGACACTGCAGGCTAATGAACTTCTTGGGGTTGTCATCTGTCTGAATGTAAATCTATGCCAACCAAAAGCAGTATTCTGATCCAATCTGTTAGAGAGAAAATGTCTTTGCCTGCCTCAGATGTAAGCAGATCTAGTGCTGAATCTTACATGCCTTGAGGAAGGAGAAAAAAAAAACAAAACAAAAAACCAAAAAAACCAGTACTTGAATTTGGCTGTCAGGTTTGGGTCTCACTTCTCTAAGCGCACTGTGGTTTGTGATTTACCCAACTAAATGCGGCTCATGGGGAAGGAGCTAAACAGCCAGTTACAGATACTTCTTGCCCTTTCTGATTCTACATTTAATACAGCATATTTAACTTCTGTCACTACATTACAATGGTAATTTATAGAAAAGCCACAGAAGCATCCACCTTTGTCAGTAAAACAATACCCATTATCTCTAGAGAAAGCTCAAGTACCACAGACCCAGAAATGGCAAAGAAGGAAATCCAGTTAAGGTCTTCAAGACAATGTTTCCACCAGGACAGACAGATCTCTGGGAATAGTCTCATACGGCTTGCACAAGCCACTATTAAGTCAGCAGCTAATGGGATTTTTCATATACGTTGTTTGGAATACGTATTTAAAATAAGTAGCTCCGGAGATTAAAAAACCCCAAACAAACCCACATCCCATCCTCAGATCTCTCTGAGGTCTAGGTGAGCAGCTGACTGGTCTCAAGTCACTGAAGTCACTGAGGAAGATATTAAATATAAGGTAAATGCAAAGATAGAGAAAACTCACAGGCAAGTATAAGAGCTCATCATCTGGTGAACGTCTTTTTTTGATAGATGTCATCTGTATGCCATGAGTTCCTTGTCGAAAAGCTGGAAGAGAAAGCCCAAAAGCATCCCATTTAAAAACAAACAAAAACAAAACAAAACAAAAAAAGAGAGATACAAAAGAAACACAAAGCACATGGCCAGCTGAGATCTGCAGTGCTCTGGAAGGGTCTCTCTGTCTCCGCCACTCCATAACTGTGCTTGCAGCTCCCGACTCCATAAGGCAGACGTAACTTTGCAGGTGTTGGGTGGCCATACTGCTCAGGGAAATGGATCAGCCAAGGAGCGCTGGTAAAACCCCAGCAAGCTGCACCTAGAACAAGCACTGGCCTTTTGCAGAAAAGACTGTGAGCTTTGGTATTACAGTGCTCATGAGCTGTTGGTGGTCAGTGATCCCTGAAGGCAAGACAAGGGCAGGGAGCAAGCAGAACTCACTGGGAAAACAAAGCCCCCCTCCAATCTGCCTCCTGTTAAAACCTGCTGCCTTGCTGTTCAGCCTAGTGCCATCACTGAGCGTACACGGGAAATCAAAGCTGAGTTTCCATGTCTTGCTTGTCTGATGGGTACATTGCACTCTGTAGAGCACAGAGAGAGGCCATTTGCCAGAGCACCTTCGACACACAGCAGAGTTTACGTGCAGTCTTAATCTAGATCCCTGCGGCTGGAAGACACATGCCACAGCACAAGACACTGGCTAGAAGGAGCAAAGAATGACAGCACAGTTTCAAACAAGCAGTAAAGGTTCAAAAAGTGGTTATGCAGTCCCAGCCATGCACCTTGAGGTTGGCAAATAAACACCTCCTCCAGCAACTGCTGGCAGGGCTAATCTAACGTAGGCAGCGCTGAAAGGAAGCCTGCAAACCCAGATTGTCAAATACTGTTTTGTGAACACCAGCTCATTTTTCATGCTGATTGACCCTGGGAGAACATATATCTAACACCCTTCTGCCTCCAAGCCCATGCACAGCACTGCTCCATCCCCATGGCACAAGTGCCAGGGCCACACCTGCACCTGGTCACAGCATGATTTGCAATCTGCCCAGCTCTGCCAGCTACTTACGGCGCTTCGTACCATCACCATTCTTTGTGCTGTCGGAGACTTGCTGCTTGCGGATGCTGTCCTCATCTGCTTTGCGATCTCTGCCTGGGCAAGCGCAAATGCGGGCTTCAAAACATCGGCGGCCCAAGACTTGCCCACTAGGAAGAGAGGCGAGAGGAAACATCAGCTGGCAGCTCAGATACGGGCCAGCAGCATCCCTCAACTTCACACCAGACTATGCACAGACAGACCCAAATCTCCCATTTCCCAGTCAGGATGCCACAGGTGCTGGGCAACTCCCACCTGCAAAGATTTGAAAAGTATCCTGTGGCCCCTTTCATCACACTGTCTCTAAGGATATGCAATGCTGCCCTCAGCAGAAGAGGAGCCAGAAAGACACCTCTCAAGCAAAGGGCTGCACTCGTGATGCACTACTTACTCTCTGGTTTCCAGTGTCACAATGATGAGGATCGGGCGACGGTTCATCCCTCCCACGCAGCTACTGTTACACATGAAGTTGTACAAGACTGTTGTGAACTCCGTACCAACCTGGATGAGACAAAGGAGATGAGCAGAAGAGATTGTGGATTGAAAACTCTGCTTTTCCCAGGCTCTCCTCTTGTACTTCCACAACTGTGCGGCAACCAGACCAGCATGAAATAGGCCCCACCACACAGCTTCCTTAAAAGAAATTAAGAGCTCCTGCTGTCAAGGAATAAAGACGATGTTTAAAAGCTCATTTCTGACAAAGAGGAAGAGGGGATTCACTGTGATGAGGATGGGGAAAACGCAGGATCCTGACTCCTTCAACTAGGGTTACAACCCCCATCCCTTTGTGTGCCAGGATGCCACCACTTTGAGCTCACAACATACCTGGGGTGGCTCGTAGGGGACCAGCACACTCTGCCTCCCGGTGATGGGGTCTTCTACATACTGGGCATGGCTGTTCCCTTCCACCCTGATCAGGTGGCTGGGAGGTGCAATCTGCCCTGCAATGACAAGGAGGTAAAAACCAAGACACATTGTTCAGTGAAGCAAGGTGACACACAGGGCAGCAAGATCTTCCAAGGGAAATCCTCACACCTAGCCCCAGAGGTCTATTAGAGCACACACGTGCCTCTCAGATCTTAAAGCATCCCTTTCCCCAGGTCCTTGCTGCCAGACATCAAAGACAACACACATTTTCTCAAGCTCACACTGGACACCTGTGAGTAAACTTGAACACTGGCTTCCCAAGATGCCTGATTAAGCGAGCCCAAGTGTCAACTGAATGGCAGCTTACAGCAACTCTTCCAGCAGATAACTTCACATGGATTTTCATATTAGCCAAAAGCCTTTCTTTTCCTCCCCCTAACACATACACAAAGCAAATCCCTTCAAGTCTCAATTCCGACTCTTTTCCCCATCAATTACTAGCCCTCTTCTGTTCCTTCCATCAGTCTTGATCCTAAGGAGCTAAAAAAGATTTAAGCAGCAAGAGAAATATGCATTTAATTAATGGTCAACCTGAAAAATCATGCTCGCTTACAGCAGCAGTAGAAGGGAACATGATCTTTTTTATTTCTAGGCCCCTTTCCAATAATTTTAGAAAAAAAATTTTCCTTCCTGCAAATTTTATTTGGTGTTTCTACAACATAAAACTGAATTCTAAGGAGAGAAGCCCGTTATGGATTCATCTCAAGAATTTCTTTTGTGTTTGAACTGTTCATTTCTTACTTGAAATACAGCGTATTTCTAGAGAAGTAATTATTTCAGGGTAAGAATTTATAGGTTTTGTGGTGGCTGTTTTTTTTTCTTTTTCTTAAAACTCCACTATTGAACCAGGTATCAACCCTCAAAAAATCCAATTCTGTCAGAAAAGCACTTTCTAATATGAGAAACTATCGTGGAGAACTGTCTCACTCCACTCCGGTTTTACACTCCCAAGTCCTTGCTTATTTTTGGACTTGTCTATCTGGCTGCACTGTAACCAGCAAAGGGATCCAGGCTCCAAGACATCCTGCTAACTGACACCAACTGGGTTTTTTTACAGTAGGAGATAAATAATGCACATAGAATAAAACAGATGCTCATCTGAACTTACGTGAACTTAAAGTGGCCAAGGCAAAACAGAGCCCAGCTCATGAGTTTGCAGAAAACCCTAGGACATTTTTAAAACAGCTGCTATTTCACTAACATGAGAAGAAGCAAGTAAAAGATTAAAACATTAATACTGAACCGATAGTGTTAAATGTGCAGGAAGGTTGCCTACAGTCAATGCTGGCACTTAGCGTTATCCTACTAGAGATAAACAGCCCCTCTGTCTTTGAGGCACGGATTAAGGACTGGAGATGATATTGCATCCTGTTACTAGATCCCTGTCCCAGCGACGTGGAAGCTCATTCCTGAGCACAAGAACAGCTGCTTCTCATTGCAGGAGCAAAAGTAGAGTGGGGAAAGTCTGCCAGAAGGGCACTGCCTGCCATGGGGACAGACACCCATCCAACCAGGGCAGGCGTGAAGTTTATTTCAGTATTTTCTTCCCAAGGACATGTTTGCACAGGGACAGTTAAAGTATAGTACGAATCTTCCTGTTAAGCCTGGGAAATAAAAAGCTGCACAAGATGTTGCAGGGAGGTCTGCTTTCAGCAGGTTTGCCGTGAAGCTGCCGCCAAAGCCCCACACTGGTCACTCATCCATCAAGCACCTTTGGAGAGGGACTGCCAGCAAAGCACTGCCCTCCTTACCTTCGTTGAACTCCCGGCTCAGCTCATGGTTCGGGCAGCGCTTGACCACTTCGGTGACATGTTCAGCTTTCTTGTAGACTGGCATAGCCCTGATGACAGCTCCCTGAGGTGGTGGGGTCATCACTTTGATCTGGATGGGACATGTCTTGGCGATCTGGCAGTACAGCTTTTTCAGTTCAGTGGAATACTGAATGGGGGAAAAAAGCAAGAGAGAGTCAGCATGTTCAGCTAGAAATGGAGGCATGCCAGAAGGAAGAAGGATGGTTTGCACATGTAACTGAATGCACCAGCTACTGCACGTGCATTGCATTTGTTTACACAGCAGCCACACTTCCAGACAAGTGGCAAAAACCCTAGACCTTTACCTGTATTAGAATAGCAGAGTGTAAATCTACATCTCGGTTCTTCGAAGGTAAAAATCTTCAGATACAGAGCACTGCTTTTACACGAACAAATACCGTCTTTATTTCTCTTGGGCACACACCCCCTCTTTCCAAAGGGGACACATTATCTGCCTAACAAAACGCACACTATTCTTTTCGCAGCACCCTGTAATCCTGGAAGCACTGGAAACCACACACAAAGTGTTTCATTCTGTTTTGTAAGAAGCCCTCCTACGTTTGCAGAGGGCTGAAATAAAAACACGAACCTTGGAATCAAGCAGTACTTTAAATCAAGACCCCGACCATTTTGGGAGTTGTACCAAACCTGACATTCCAGTCATCTTTTAAAAGCACCTCACACCTCTGCTGACCACCTCCATAGCAATCGCCACACTTCTAAACTCAAAGCATTACATCCACAAAAGAGGATGTAAAAAATAAGATAATAAAGATTTTTTTTTTTTTTTTAAAAAGTAATCAAAGGTCAGAAGAGTTACAGCCCAAAGACCAGGTCCATGGTGAGACCTAGAGCACAACCCAGCAGATGGCTCCAAAAGGGAGGTTGTGACCACGCAATGAACACTTGGAACAGAACAAGATGCTCTTATTCACTATGCTAATTTAGAACATATTAGATTCCCTTTTTTAAGACATTCCCCAATGTAACAGTAACACTGGTGCTGCATTTTCCTGAAGTGCGTTCATATCTGGAAACCTTTACTCAGCAAACATCAAGGCATGGGCTGAAGTCATTGGTTTCTGTTCAAAAAACCCTCATTGAAATAAGGGCATGTGCATAGTAGGAGTGGTTGAAAAGAAGCTCTCATGTGGTTCAATGCAGTGTAACCTGAACCCATTTTTTTTGATGTCCTCCACAAAGGAGACTCTCCAGTCTCCTCTGCTGTACAAGGTTCTTTCAAAATATGGCAGTTTTCGTCAGTACCCCACTCCAGAGGCATTCAGTTTTCTCCTGGTGCTCAGACATTTGTGAGCGCAGACCTCTCCCAGTAACCACGTAACCCACAGGAATCGCTGGCATTTCCCCCCTTCCATCTCTTTGGTTCTTGCAGAGAAAGAAAAGTGAAAGCCCCAAGGTGGTTGTTTTCTCGAAAAAACATCTCTAGCAGTCATGGGCAACACAGGCCCGGTCCCCACTGTTCAAACAGAGCACCAACAGGTTCATACCAGTTGAGAGCACGACTTGGCCATCCACTCTGCTGGGATGGAAAGAGCCAGCGCATGCATGGGTGGGTGGCAGGTGACGTGGCAGCAGAAGGATTAGCTAGTGATATTCAGGGATTATTTGGATTTCAAAGTGTACATATTGCTAACATAGGAAAAACCAAAGTTGGGAGAGACACAGGAGGAGAGAGGGATTAAAAAATAAGCCAAGCCAGTCCCTTCCCTCCTCACTCAACGCCACCCTGCTGTATGGCAGAGAAGATGCTACAGGTATTTAATCTAAGGAAAAAAAAAAACCTCTTTAAAATGCAAAGGCCAAATTGTGCAATGTATTTTATGTGCCTTCAGGCTAGAGATTAAACCCACAAAGGATTTACCCAGCCCGCGGAAATGGGGAACATGCCAAACAATTACAAAAAAAAAGTTGCGAAACAGATCTAGATGGTGATTTATATCATACATCTTTTTAACCTAAAATTCCTTATTGTTTTTTAATTAAAAAGCAATTCCTTACTAAAGGTAAGAGTGAGCTCATTATGTTGTCTTTTCATCTCAAGAGGTAGGAAAGGAATCACCTATATTTGAAAGAGGAAGAAAATTTAGAAAGCATTGTTTCCCTCAACATATCAGTCTGCTAACAGCATTGTGAAGGCTTCCAGGACAGAAAGCCTCAAAAATCTCAAAAAGCCAACTAATCGCTTGGATGCCTTGACATCATTGAAGTGTAAAGAAATTGGGCACCCAAAGGCAATGGGCCGAAAGGAAAGCATACATATGGAAGTGCGATGGCGCAGGGAAGGCATAGCACACGCCAGGAGCCAACGTGTCCGGTGTCTGCAGGCATTCAGAGAATTGAATAATGAAAGGAGATACACACCCCTCGGTCACAGATCAGGAGTGTTGGTGTTGACTGTAATTTTATGTCTAATATCTTCTAAGACAGAAAGCTGGGGTTACAGGAAGGGGGAAAAAAGAGGGGGGAATAAATCACTGCTTTCAGAAGGACAGGAGAGGTGCCCAACGCCACCATGGATACCAAGGCTCAAGATTAAATATGGCCCCTCTGCCAGCAATGGAATGGACCTGCTCCTCATCCACCCTTCAGCACCCCAAATGTCAGACCCCTTTGGCTACAACCAGCAGCCTGCAGCTTACATTCACAGAGAGCAAACAGGCAAGGGCTAATGGGTTATGATGAACAAGGCTGCCCAACAAAGAAATAGCTCTACGTCCCCGAAACACAGCGCAGACTCAAGAGCAATCAGTTCTGGTGAACACCTTGAACTTGGCATGTCAGAAAAGAAGGGTGACCAGGAGCCCACCTCTGCTCCAGGACAGAGTCAGGGCACAGAGAGGTGAGCAGCAAGCACCCAGCACAGAGGTGGATGAGACAGCAGGAAGGCTGCATCGCCTTTTTGTCACCCGATTGCAAGAGGACTTCAAGCCTCACAGGCACTACACAGGGCTCGTGAACATGGCACGCAGCCACAATTTCACATCTACCCCAGGCATGGCCGCCTGCGAGCATGTAATCACTGAGCAGACGGTCACTTAACACCGGTGTAAATCTGTCCACGGGGTACCTGCTGTCAGACAGTAAGGGGCTGGATTTTCCCGCCCTGCCAGCTTTGCTGCAATCGTGGGTAACCTGACTCCCAGCCATCTATTGGCATAAATAGAGGAGAACAACTAGGTCATGCTGACTTCGCGCTGGATGAGTGATAATCGCTATATCCACAGAGCAAGAGAGGATATTGTATATAGATTTCAAAGCAAATAAGCTTCAGAAAAAAAAAAAAAAAACCAAAACACAACCCACCCTGAGGCAGGAGCTGTCTGTGCATTCAGAGGGCATCTGCAAACAAAGGTCGCCCCTCTCAGCACAGGTGCTTCTCCTCAGAGGTCCCCAAACTGCCCCACCTTGCAGGAGGTGACAGTCCCCCTGCCCACCATTTTGCTATGAGAACTGACAGAGGCTCACTGTATGAGGGGCAAGATCATGAGACGAACAATTCCCAGAATGACTATTACTCAACGCACTTCTGTTACTTGCTTAAATAGGAAATCTAAGTTTATTAGGAGCAAAAATACCAAAATGAGCTTGACCCAATCAACAAGCCTATCATTCAGCAAGATGACAATAGTCATTATCTAGCAGCAGGAACAAAAGTTGGTCCAGTCTGAGGAGTGCAAGCACCACTTCTACCAAACATATGGAGCAAAAAGTTACTTAAAACAAGAGAGAGGAGCCTGCTGACACGTTACCCATTCAAGAGGGAGAGGAAAGAGCTTTGGCTCAGACTTTTCTTTGATTAGAGTGCTGCATGTCATGCTCAAATAAGCAGACTTCAAGAACTTGCTGAGAATGACAGTGAATTTAGCTTTTTGCTTAATAATATGTTTTAAAAGGAAAGAAGAAAACATTCCAGCGTCTGCAGCTCTGCCCTCCCCACCTGCTTGTGGAGACTGTATTACCCACTCTTGGCACCCTGGCTGGTAATTCAGTATCACAATATTCACATGCCAGCTACCATCAGGCAACACCTGTCTGATTTCTCAGCAAGCCCCTTCTCTGGAAGGTGTGTCAACAAAGCATTTCAAGGAGAAAATAATACACTTTTCACCTCTCAACTGGAGAATTTTTGCTACAAAGGATGGAAGTCTCCTGGAAGTAAGCGCTCAGTGCAATACAACCTGTAATGGCTTTTCACTGAGCATTCAGGTCCCCTGCAAAACTCTGATGCAGCGAAATTCCCCAAACAGTATTTTGGAAATCTACCTCTAATATGTTTTACCATCTGATCTAGCCGAGGGATTACAGCCCTTAAGTCTTTAAAAGGAGCAGGGTTCAGTCAGCTCTATGAATGCTGACGGATGTCAACTTGAAGGTGATCCCAGAGGCTGGCTTATGGCATGACAGCTCCCTGAGCCCCTTCTGCTCAGATCAACAGGTCTTTCAAATCTTTTGCAAACTTCTTTTAAGTAGTCACGTTTTAGCTCAAGTCAGTTAAACACGAGATTCATTTTACTTGACATTTTCAAAGCCGTCAGTCAGCTATGCTTTCTCTCCTACCGAACTAACGCCAAGAAGTGGAAAAAAAAGAACAGGTTAGAAGAGTGGGAAAGCAACATTTACTTGCACTGAAGTGTTCACAGATGAGAACAAGGGGAATCATAAACAAAGTAGAAAAATCAGCTACATAAAGTCTATCCATTTAGGAAAAAAAGGGCAGTGGGAAGAAAGGAAGCTACCTACTAAGAATAAAAGTTGAGACTTATGCATGCACCTTAAATGCTTGATGAACAGTCATCTAAGATTTCATTCACAAAAAATGTTTGGGGCATGGTGGACACAGCAGATATACACGTGTGCACATGCACACAGACTCTTAGGAACTGAATTGTACCCAGAGGACGCTTAGCAGAGAAGCCGAACAAAAGTTCTACCAGTAGCACTGCAGACATGGGTGTCTGCTGCCAGATTTAACCTTTGACTTAGCATAACCTTAACCCCACCGCTTGCTAGCTGACTTGTTGCATCTCCAGCTTGAGGCGCTTTGTCTCACCAGGCTGCAGAGAAAAGCAGACAGCTTGCTGCTAGCAGACGTAGCAGACATTC